CATTTTACTTTAGCATGAATAAAGCAAACTACCACAAAACTAAGTCAATCATGCCTTCAAGTTTTATTAGCATTTACTCATTCACTCGGCCAAAACAAACCTCTACCACCTTCAATCACCACGCCAAGAGAATTGGCCAAATTATAGAGGAGGATGGAGTGATTGTTGACTTTGAAAGAGCAAGAGAGAGCGGGCCGTCACAGCTACTATTAAAGCTCATTACAAACGCGCGCCTCAAGGTCATCATCATCCAATCAGACTAAGGGGTGTGCATAGGTTTTTGCGACAATTGTATGCATGTGCACTAGTGCTGCACATACACTTATTCACGTGTTGCTCCACCATCTCCACGACATGACGTTCTCCTCGACTGTGGTGTAGCCATTGGACTTAAAATTGGACTGGTTGGTATATAAATAAATATATATATATATATATGTGTTGCTGTTTTTCGACCTCGCCACGATGTTGGCGAACTACTGTCCTCATTCTCACGTCCCTTACCTTTGTAAGTCACTTATTTTGCTATATTTTTTTACAGTATTAGTAGTTAATTTGGGCCTCATTTCAAATGTTTTTCTGTGCATATCAGCTTGAATTCAAGGGACCGGGAATAATTTTACTTTGTCATTTGACTAATGGAGTCAAAAGTATTAAATTCCCAAATTTGGAAATTTGACTTTGTATCATCGACATTGTGGGACTTTGATGGAGACGTTTTCTCTTACGTTTGAACTGTACATGAGGGGGCATTGACTTTGTAAATTATGTTGGCATAGAAGAGAATAAGCTCCATCCTGATGGTTTGCATGGGCCATCGAAAAAGAGGGGGGGGGGAGATGTTGTGTCTGCTCAATGTGTTTGGCACAGCAGGTGATGGCCCTCCGGCGAAATTGAGAGAAATTCGAAATGTGGTTATTGGCCAAATTTTGCGATTTCACCAGTTTCAATGTTTCAATCTCCGCCACTTCCACCTTCTTTCCTCTTTCTTAGTCCTTGACTTGTTGTCCTGTTGCGTACGTAAGAGATGATGTTGAGAAAGTCACTCTTATTCTTAACGATTTTCAATGAGTCGAGTTAATGGACAGGACTGAAGCAACTTTTGAAACCCTTTTCAGGAAAGTTCGATATCCACTTGCTCCATGTTGTGGGCGTGGAAGTCTTTGCGGAGGTTGTCATTATTGGAGGCAGTTCCAGACGCCATTGTTTTTTATTTTGAGTACAACTCTTTCGCAATAGTATAGATGCCTATTCTAGTGAATTTCTTCTAAATATTTTCAACTTTGAAGTGATTCAAAAATTTATCTTTTGCTTAGTGCCACCACTAAATTTATTGCTAACTCCCTACATATTATATATTTTTGTCCTGTTGCAAATTTCTCCTTTATTGTGAATATTACATTTCTTCCACGCATGTCATACCAGGTCATAGAATTATCTCGACCCCCCCCCCTCCACCCCCTTAACTGGCATGTAAATGAGAATAATTTCAATTTTCTTTAAAATTTGTTACAAAACCAATTGTAGTCATTTTTTGCTTTCCATGTTTGGGTTATGTATGTTCAAGTTACTTTAATCAGGATTCCAGAATGAATTGTATATGATTCCTGCTATTCAAGTACTTTGCTATTTATTTGTTATCCGTTAGTTTCTCTTATTAAAAACATTTATCCTAATGGTTCAATTAACGGTATCGAGGATCAATAATTTTAAATTGTGACAATTATTTTTTGTTCTCATTAAAAAAGCAAATGAAGTAATGATTTATATAGATGTTTTAAATTTAATTATTTCGTTGTCAGTAAAAAATTGATATTTCTTTGTCGGTGGGGTTTGTTGATTACGTCTTGCACACTTTGATTTCTCTCAAAATAGCCACCTCCATATTCTACCTTTTTTGAACATCACTTTTTGTGGAAATTTACCGGTTCAGTTGCTTCCAATTTAAGAATTAAGTACAGCCTTGGTCTGAATGTCGATTTTTGTACTAATTCTGTTTACTTCAATTTAGTTTTTATTGAAACTTATCCTAGTGGTTATGAGAATGAAAACAACTGCGAGATTGTTTCATTCTGAAGTAAATTAGGTTTTATGTAATTAGTATTTATTTGGTTGCATTAAAATACAATAAGTCTTGAAACCAATATATTCACTAGACTGCTTTATTTTCATTATTTCCGATGGGAAAAGATGCGTCCGTTTTCGCTTTTTTGCCATTGAATTACTGCAATTTACCGGATAAGTTCCTCCTCTTTAAAATCTCCGATTTGGAGGATTTGCTTCATTTAAAGTGGCTATTTTAACTCCTAAGTCTACCGCATACAATCTTATACACCTCTGCAACACTTGGCTCACTGCGCTGTAACTTAATATTCTAGTAGGTGGGAGTTCTTATGATATCCAAGTATGGACAAATATAATGGCATCTACATGTCTAACCTGCTTTGTATAATCTCATTAGTTAACTCAAGTGAGATACCTGAGTTGCGCTTTTTATAATCATTTTTCTCGCATACACTTGATTCACGACAAAACTTTTGAGCATACCTGAGGGTACAGGAATAGCACCAGTTTTGCCTACATTTACATAAGTTGCCGGCTAAATCAATAGGTAAAGTTTGAATGCTTCAGTTAAATGCTGAATTATAGAGTTCGACTCTTTGAAGAAATGGGCTGTTAAAGTTTACCTGTGAAGCCTTTATCCCTTCTATGGATTTGAATAAAATGAACTCCAAGTGATCATTTACTAAAGAAAGGTGGAAATTGTTAGTTTCAAGGATTAAACCAGGATTTGGTAGGATTCGTGTCAAAGATACAAATTGTGTCTGGCTTTCAAGTTGTGTTCAGTGAATATTTTGAGAGGTTATGGTTTTGTGTTAGGTAAATAGCACCCTATTAACTTGAGAAACTTGAAGGTATTAAGTTTGGAAATAATTGAGAAGTCTGGTTATTTGAGCTTTTACGATTTTGAAATTGAGTTTTTCATGCTCTTCAAGCAACTGTTTTCCATCGTTTATTTACTTTCATCATCTCATTAACCTCCCGACTTTGTTTGCTTCGGCCATTTTCTCTTCCCCGCTTTTTGCATTCGCAAAGATTTCAAGAAAGCATGGAAGACCATCTAAGCCACTACTTGCTAAAATTAGAAGCCTAACAGTTGGAAGGACAAACCGACATCCTAATAGAGATCTTTAAAGAGGTTTTCCACTCTCTCCTTTGACTCTCAATTTATTGGGTAATTAACTGATAGCCGGAACTTCAGGAACACCACATGGGTTCAATGCATTTAATAAAGTTCTTTCGCAAAAAGCTAACAGAAAATTCCGCTTTCTACTTCATTGATATGGCTTTATATGTTAATTGTATACATCACAAACGTTTGTTGACTATGTATTCTATTCCGATTGGTGGAACAGGGAAGGCATAACATCGAGAAGAGGGTGAGTTAAGATAATCTAATGAATTCAATAACCCAACAGTCTTATCTGGTTTAAAGTTGTGAAGCATGGACTTATCCAATCTCTCGTTAGTAATATAATTTAATTTTAATGCATTCCAATGCTAAAATTGCAAGAATCGGCCTGCCTTTTTGTGGAGGAGATTATCTCCATGTATGCAGAGTTTGTTGACAGAATAATGTAGTTCCAATCGACCATGTCGTCTCTTGTCTTAGCCAAGGGTAAATAAGTCATTTTATTTACTAACCTTGTCTATTTATTAAATTTAGTCTTATTTTATAGGTCTCACTGCAAATTCCTTTGTAACTTCCCGCATTCGTCTTAGTTATCACCTTCAGAGAATTTTGATTTATTACACATATTTTAAGAACCATATCTTTGTCAATACCACCACCACCATCAATGGCACAAAAAGTTTGTTTGAAAGCATAGCGCTAAATGTTAAACAAAAACGTACCCACCTAGAAAGGCTTGTATGCACAGATTCAAACACGCACACGCCAACAGAAGTGAACTTTGAAATACTCTCGTTCGAATACGAAACAGAGAAACACCGGACGCCACACCAGTCACACCAAAAAATCACGTCAGAAAACGTTAAATTATGGGGTTTGTTCGAGTTTAATCAGAAATTTGCTACTTGTGTTTCGATATATGAGGGTTTGAGGCACCGTACTTCGTCAACATAAAATAATAATGAAACTGGACAACAGAATTACGTATTTCTAACATATTGTTTTATGACAACGATATAGTAGATTGCTATTTGATATATTTATGATATATATGTCAAGACGACAGATTCCTTGGTCATGGCTGATCACTTGATTAGAATACCCCTCTGATTATCCACTTTGCAGTTCGTTTCATGGTGATGGAACCTGAAAAACGCCCCAACAGGGTAATTACTAGAGTTTACACATCCCTGAATTTTTTTCCAATTTTTCTGTTCAATTTTCAAATATTTTATCTTATTGCATTTCCTAGCGAATCCACCTTTTATAAAATAATTTAGAATAATTGCGAAGTTTAGATCGTGTTTCACGACCTTGAGCTCGTATGTTTTGAAATGCCATATCTGGTGGTAACTTAGTGATATTAAAATTTTTCAAAGTATAAAGCGTGGAAATTGGCTAATATAGCTTGAAGTCGGACAGTTGTTCACGTTGATTATCTACTGATCATATGTGTGTTTATTATTCACATTATTATTACCTCCCAAAGCAGAGGAAAATTAATTAAAAAAATTAATCAGGAGAAAACTTCTACTCAGAGAAACGACCAACCAGTCCAAAAGTGGGTGGTTAACGAGAGTTTAGGTGGTGAAGACGGATCACTTAGAGGTCTACTTCTGCGGTTGATCACGCTACCCCCATTTATACGAGATTTTATTACACGCAAGCGATTTTTTGTTGGCATAAAGAAGCTCATATGGGGTGTCATAATTGATGTGTCAATGGTAATATCAATGATAATTTTATAAAGAATTAAAATATTCCGTTCTTGTAAAATTATTGGTTTCTTTATCTACCCCAATTGCTTTGATTAACCCTTTTTATTGGAATCTAATCATGTCAGGTAAGTATATTCACGCTCGTAAATGTCTACAAATCAATTTACTCTCTGAAATAGTCTTCCTTTTGTAAATATCTTAACACATTGCGACTAGCGGTTGTCAACGCCACCCACTACTTCAATTACCCGAGTTCTTTTTTTTCATTACATTTCCTGCATTTCCAATTCCCGCAAGCTTTTCAGCAAAATTCGTACATTTTCTTCAACTTCAGGTAAATTTATGCGTATTTTGCCTAGATGATTAAATGATTTTCAATTCTGCGGTTTATAGGTTCTCAATCTTTTATAGAACTTCTGTAGAATATACAGATCATATTTATATCCGTGGATTTTTAATAATGCATCTGAAAGCCAAGTCGCACATGAATTGCATAAGCTAATAACGAACATTTCATGCAGTAGTTAATTTTTTTAATTATTATCACAAACTGGTTTATTTTCTAATTTATCGAAATGAGTTCTGTGGAATTGTAAGCTTTCCTATTTAGGATAGTGACAATTCGTATGAAAAAAATCTAATTTCCACTTTCAAAATGAACATGTCTGAACTGAGATATAAACAGAACTCTGAGGACAACTGTGGGACTATAGTAGGTCAGGTAGTTCATTTGAACCCTGTTCACCAATTCGCAGTTTACTTTTCATAAGGGTCCCTTTGAATTCTACTTTCAGGAAAATACAAATTTAGGTCTAAAAGTTCATACAGGTATCCTTAACTCATTTCAAAGTGCACAGTGTTCTTATGAATGAAGAGAAGTTAACATTTTCACTTGATAAAACTGTTTGTTTCACTTCCATACAAGTAATGACTCTCGGTTGAATTCTCGTTGAAGTAAAGTTAGCATTGCCAACGTTTTGTTACGAACCAAAACTTATTTTTCACTTTGAGAACGTGCATAGCTCCTTTTTACACGAAATTGTGAGCTTGGCAAGACACTTCATGTTAGTAATGCTAGTTGAAAGCGATTGTGTATATTCAAACGACTTTTACAATAAGTTTGTTATCTTAACAAATTTAAACTCTGGATAACAATCGCCTATATTTGATTTTAAAACTTTAGACCTTTTTAAAAAAACTCATTCGGGACTTTTTTATTAAATAACTTTCTTGCTATAAAAGTGGTCCGATTCATTGGCAAGTACTGGTGATTGGGGATATCGTTATCTATCTTGGACCCATTAAAGTGAGCACACAATAATGGACACGAATATGACTAAGCTAAGGTAAGCTAAATACTTTACTATATTTGAGGCCAGCATATCGAACGTGTTTCTTTTACCTTTTCTGAATAAATCGTGTCTTCACTTGGGAGGTGCATGAATGATGGATTGATGGTGTAAATTCAAGCATCGTTTCTGTTTACCGCTAAATTACGGATTTCATTCTCGTATATTTATATATAATAGTTCAGCATTTTTGACTTGTAAGTTTATTGATGAATTGAGATGAAGATTGTCTTAGAGAGATTTTTTCTAGAGACGAGACTAAATAGTTGGGTGTGCAATGATGTTTTTTTCCGAAAATTATTTGAAATTCATGTTTCATAATTATTTGACTTTTGCAATTGACGGAAATTAGTTAGAACAATTCAAAACAGTATATTTTTAAACCATTTTTGGTAAAAATGCGTAGTTTTTTGCTCTCCAAGGGCCATATAAGTGCCAATCAATGTTCAATTTTTCCGCAATTAATCGACTTAATAGTGCAGTCAGATGAGATTCTGTAAGCACAAATAGCAATTTAACGAAGAGCCTGGAAGCCTGAGGAGAATTGTTATGTATTCTGAATCATTCAATTCGATTCATGTCGAGTTCAATGTTCACCTTCGACTACACACCTTAGTTTTCACCCTAAGCCAGTTCAAAAATCTTCATTTGTCATGAAAACCCATGAGATTGCGCATAAATAGCTGAGTTACATAATTGACTTTCGTGAAAACAACTAATCGAACAAGTTGCAAAGGATTTTTCCTTCCATGAGTTATTCTCTTCAGATTCCTTTAAAAAATTGCCTTGTTTTTCTCTAATAAAAACTTTAAATATATGCATGTGTCTATTTCAGCTAGGATTTTTGTTCAGTCATGAGATTTTATCATTTTTTAAACTTATTCTAAGTTGTTGAGTAAAAGAATGGTACTTGTGCTAGAATTGAACCATTAGTCACGAAAAGGCCGACTTATTTTGTGGAATAATAAGTAAAAATGTTAATAAGAAAGTGTTATGCAATTAACGCTTTTAATGAAGGTCTTTTCAGGCATTTACATTAAATAGAGATATTGTAGTTTATCTGTTTTATTTTGGAAAAAAATCCACTAAATCTAACTTGGGAACATCGTGTATCGCCACTGACAATTGCGTTTACTAAAGTATTCAATGGGAATTACTTTAATTTAGTCCAAATAGAATTCAGTTTGGAAGATGAAATCATCGCTGTTTACTCAAAGCTTAATTTTACAGTAAGGTAGGTAAATTAACCATTCGACCGCCTCAAATTAGTCACTTGAACATCAGTGGAATCTGCACTGTCCAAGAGCTTCTCGTATCTACCCGCAAATAGTCGCAATGGCGCACTGTTCTCCAGGTGATTCAAGTATAATCAACATTGGTGGATAATAATGAAAGTCACCCAAATTGCATATGGCGTTTGAAATTTGTTCCCAAAATAACCGACGATTAAAATATTTCAATGGAACATTTGGAAACCATTCAGCTCATTATCAGGCTTTATCGAATTTCAGCTTCTCGGATTAAGTGTTCTTGGAATTGGATTATTCTTCTACTTCGAACATTGTGGCAAATACTGTATCCTATCCCAATTGGCGATTCCTGTTGCTCTGATGGCAATCGGAGGATCAGCGTTAGTGACCACCAGCCTAGGATATATTGGTGCCTTTTATATCAATCGATGCATTCTTAGAACTGTAAGCGCGTTTCTTGAGTAACTAAATAATAACCGCTCTCGTAAAGTCGACTATAATGTCAAAGTTAGCTTAAAGTAAATTCGTAATTGTTACACAGCAGTGGATGGAAGATGGATATTTGGGGGATGCAAACTTAATGACTGAGCAAATTAAATTACACATATTTAAGGTGAAGTTGGATAAGCTATGCCATAGGAGTGTATTTATAAAGGGGGTATCTTCATTAAGAAGGTGGACTACCTACTGTCAGTTAATTTGCAAAGTTAGAACAAATTAGCCTCAATTAGTAATCGTTCGAATTCACACATTCCAGGACAAAAAACGCGTAGATACCTATAAATGCAAAACGATTCTCATACTATGAATTTTTGCCGTTCTATTTCAGTTCACTGTCCTCCTCATTCTTGTATTTCTCGCTCATATTGGGGTTGGAGCAACTTTCTACCAAATGCGCGAAGGTCTAATACCCCTAGCCCTCGAGGAGATTCGATCTCTGATTGATGAAGCAGAAAGTTCAAAGAAGTCTGAAGCGCTTGCCATAATGGAGAGAATTCAAAATCGAGTAAGCTTGGAAGGCTCATATTCCTCCCTTCCTACCCCGACACTATTTATCTACTGCTCTAATATTTTAGTTAACCGGTAATTTTGACTGAATGGAAAAGATTAGTTTACAGACCCAATCAAATACGGCTTGAGTTGCTTAATACTCAATGTCACATGTAGAGCAAAAAGACGAACACAATTATTGAAGAGAGCCTTGAAATTGTCCTTAGGAAGCAAGTGGTACAAGTAAAAATTCTCCTTTATTCTGATTTTAGTCATAATGAAGCTGATATTCATGAGTGAGAATTGAAGAAAAAGTTAATTTAATTTAAGTTTCGATAATTAATTTCTTATGGTCACAGGACATTCTTAGGTGAATGTGGACGCACTCTGCTCTCGAAGTCTGAGCAGATAGTCGTGGTAAAATTTCATTCGTTCGGTGATAGCTTAACATTTGAGAGTCAAGAATATGCAGATTTTTCCTGTAAATAGTCTTTCATGAACTGCCTATTCAATGTTTCTCTTGGATTGAATTATCTCAAGTCTAGTGATATATAATGGAAACCTTGGCCATGGTACCAGTCTCGACGTTGCAAACGTCCCCAAAATCGCTCAAGTTCCGAACTTCATTTTGTTAGCTAAGAATTTCAAATATTTCGCTTACAGCAAGCTTACAGAATGACAGGTTCGTAATATCTCATAGATTGTTTTGTTGTTGAAGTTGTCTTTCAAATGAATTAGGCGTGCTTATGCTTTAGTTTTGTGTTTGCACTCTTTAAACTCAAATGTTTATTTCTGTTAATGCCTATTAAGCCGACGAATGCTGATTCATTCATTTCTTTGTAGTACTTTGATGAGTATTCAGCGCCTTTAACTTCACAGAGACAGACATTAATAAATGTTACAAAAACAGAGTTATGACCTTGAGTATATTGTAAAATATTAAAAAATGAATACATCCATACTTGAAGTGATTTCAAATCAGGTGCCTATTGCATCATGAATTGAAATAAACTCCTATCACTGCTATAACAACTAATTCAAATGTCCGAATCCAGCCAAAGAGACCTTCAGTTGACATCATCTTCGAGGCTGGTGAGTTTAGAGAAAATGCTCTGTTTCCTGGCTTAAACAATCGACAAGCCAATAACTATGTCTAAGCAGATCACTTTTTCGCAAATCGTCTTCTTTCCTCGCGGTTAGGAGACTCTCGTAATAGTAACTTAAGAGAAAGCATTGCCTTCTGGCCATTCTTTCCTTTATTCTCTTAAGAACGCCAACCAAATAACCTTTGCTTTAATCTATATCAATTGCATTTCCTTCTCAATTATTTTTATGGAGTTCACAATATGATTGTTAGAGAAGTTGATAAGTATCCTCTAGTTACCGCTTTCGATCAAACTTACACCATGCAAGTATTTAAACAATTTAACAATGGGAATCTCATGTGCCCCACTGTGTTCCCATCTCATTAAAATCTTTCCTACCTCCACAGATTTCACTTTTGGCATCAAGGTTCATCACAGGTACGTACTGGATGGTCATGATCTTGTCCTAGATTAATGAAGTACAAAGCCCGCTATTCTACACGTTATACCCTTGCATATGCTGTTAGATAATCCATTTTTGTGCATATCAAAATCCTCCCTCCTCCTACAGGTGGTTTTGTTTTTGCAAAGAGGCATAGTCCATCAGATTTTGTTAGCCTTTACGATGTTTTCTAGAGATTTTAGCGACACTATTATATCATGAATTTATTTATTTATTCATATCAAATGGCAGTCGTTTTGACTGTTATCATCAGCCATTTAGCTGACTTAGGGCTTTACAGAGAAAAGGAGGAGGAAAATCAAAGTGGAAAAAGTCGAGAAGGGGTGTTAATAGACTTTTTTGTCGTATATGTATACGTTGGGGAGTGGGCACCACGTGGAAGAAAGTCTATGGGACTCCCCCTGTTATATCACAAATGTGATTATTCCAGACTTGTGACGTTGATTTGTCTAAAATCGCCAAAAAACCGCATCCATTAATTTATACAATAGCTTGCTTGTCACATATATAGGCTTTTTTTAAGGTAGGCGCAATTCCTGAATGATGTGCAGGTTCAAAACTGGTTTCAAGGTGAAAATAATGCAGTTTATACATTTGAATATAACTTAAAGCAAAGAAATATATGAAATTCAATAATATCTTTTGTGAAATTAAAAGGAATTTTGTGTCTATTATAAAAGAGAGGTTTAAGCTATTTAATTGTTATACCAGAGAAAAATGAGTTCATAAAGAAATAAAAAATACGTTGATTTCCAAAACAATAAGGCTATGTGATGGTCCTTTAGGTATTTTTAAATGCGATGTAATTTAAATAAAGAATTTAATTTGTATATTTTGCAATCAGCCTCAAACGACTCTGTATTTGTCCAGTCAACTGTTTCTTAGTCACTCAAAACGGTTTGGTTTAATGAAGGAATGAGGGCACATTAAAGAGAGATAAGTATTTTCAACTATTTGGTTGAAAAGAATGCTTTCCTTTCTTGTTTATTTCTTATATATTTTACTGATCGATAAGTTATTGGTGACAGCCAGTAAAACAGATATTCATGCCCTCTCAGTAATATCTTAGGCGTTAAATTTCCTTCAAAACTTACTTCATTGGTTCGATGCTATTATTATCCTGAGTTATTCTCTTTGTCTTGGTTCTAGTACAAATGTTGTGGTGGAGACGGCCAAAAGGACTGGAAAGATGATAGCCCTCTTTCTTGCTGTGTTAACCCAAATTACCTCGATAATAACTGTCGATATCCGGGCATATATGTTCGTGTAAGTTTTCTAAACCCCCTTGCCATTATATGCTCAAATATAACAGCGACAAATGTTAAGTAAACTTACAATTAAGTTAATGATGGATAGGTGTAATCGTTGTTGACTAAATAAAATTTGTTAATATCAAATAGCAGGCTTTTGATAGTTATATAGCCGTTTAGTTGACTTCAGGATTCGCAGATGGGAAGGAATATCAAAGAAAAAATTCGAAAGAGGGGAGGGAGAACAAAAGAATGTTTCAAGGATTAAAAGAGACAGACACAAAGGTTGAGAAGGGTAGGTGAGTACTGTGGAAGAAGTCGAATTTGTTATACAATAGGGTCATGGTAGTTTGAAGTGAGTAGTCAACTACCTGTTAATAGACTATCTTGCCGTATGAGTATATGCTGCCCAGGATGCACCACGTGGAGATAAGTCTATCGCACATCGCGACAAGCTAAAATAAATTTCATACTGATGACTTAAACGTTGAAAGGAGTCGATGAACTTACTTCTTTTGTTTTAGGGCTGTGCGTCGTCCATTTTTCGCCATTTCGAAGCATCTTCTCACATCTGGTTCTACTTGACGATAACCCTTTTCCTTTTTGAATTCTTCCTTGTAGTAGCAGTCTGCCAATTCCAATGCCAATTATCTGCCTACGTTCCACTAATGATTGAATAACCCCTCACCTATTCCTATATCACACCACATATCTTTCGCAACAGTTTTGAATGAGGGTTCACTTTTGTTAGATTTACTTGTATTTTATGAGTAGCAATGATTGTATTATAACCAAGTACTCTGTTGGCAACAAGATATTTAGCCAACATTATGATAACAATTTTGGATGCAAACAAAATGAAATTTCGCATCTTTTTTTTCAACACATACATTGAAATACCTGATTCATACTTGATCAGCAAGAAAAAGATAGTGCCTATAAGCAATTTTCCTTTTGAGAATTTGCCTTTTCAATTAAGGAAGGGGTATGAGGGAGAGGGGCTGGAAGTGAACATTTTAAGTTTAAGTTTTAAATGAAAAATATTTAATGCAAATTAATAGGTTATTGGTGTAGATGTAAAGTTACAACTCCTTCCAGATGTTAGTGTTTTTAAGAAATTTTGAACATTTTCTAAATCAGATAAAAGTCGGGTTGTTATTTCACCTTGTTAATATTGCTACAGGGCTAATGATGACTATCAAAATGCCTGCCATTTGAAATAAATAAATAAATAAATATTGCTATTTTATTGGAAAATTTAATGCAACGGAATATTTGGTGAACTAGCTATATGAAAGTTAATATTTTTCGAGTGATTTCTTGCAAGTCACAAAGGTCTTATTCAATTCAGCAACACTGAGTTATTATGATCGAAATGAGAAGTTGATTAAAGGACTTTTTCCACAAACACCTAACAAATGACCTAAAGATTGCAACCACCTTATGATGCAATTGGCCAACGGTAGCATATCATTGGAATATATCTTTAGTCATATCGTTAGGACATTTAATTATTGTAAAATCTATGGAGGCATGCATATCTTGAATTCTCAAGTTATATTAATGAGAAAGATTAAACTGGAAGTCTTATATTGAAAGGCAGAACTCTCCTTGGATCTAGAACTGTGATTGGCTCCTTCCCTTCCATTTCATTTCTAAAGTTAAGGACAACTTGGTTAACGGAAAATGCATTCAATAATGGTGGCATGAAAGAAAGTGTGCTTTGACTTGTATTTTTACTAAGGCGTACTTCATAAGCTAGTCATTCCTCAAAAATTATACAACTTTCAAAATTTCACTTCTCCATTTGTTAAGTCTTGCAGTTTTTGTCGATGGCAGTTCAATGCTTCTTCCGATTTGAGACATTACCGATTATACTCACATCATTTTTAGCATAGATCTGTAAAACGAACTAATAAGGGGTATCAAGTAACCAACATTGCTGTAATGATGATTATCTTACAAAATTCATTGAAGTAATTTCAAGGAATGCTCTCGTTGTATTTAATTTTCCACTAAAGTATCCTAATAGTTAATTCCCCTATTAGTACATTTCTTATTCAATCAATTTTTCTTCAAATCTTGTCCTTGGAATCTTGATGAGCTTCCCCCCTCCATCGATCACAATTTTTCTTGACTTCTACTTCACCTTTTCAACTAATCTCCCGACATTGCGCTAAGCCAATGGTAAAAACGTCTCTTTATTACATTATTTTATGCACGCGTCTCGTTATATGGTCAATGTGACACATTGAAATGGAGCACAATATGGGGTACTTTGAAGATATTTCAAGTAGTGTGAACAATGTAACTCCAGTAAATAGTATTCAAGTTAATTTTCAGTAGGTCTCTAGAAGGAAGCATTTAGATACTCTTTAAGAAGGGAAAAATCAATACAAATAAACGACCTAGAAAAGTCCCTGTTGACCAAAAAAACTTAAAAACACTGATTGGAGGTTAATATGGGAAAGAAGCTGTGAATTGATTGGCAGATTTGCCCTTTTTCCTGAATAAATTTAAGATCTAGCTGTGTGCATTGATTGATTTCTATTGACTCGATCGCAGTTTGAGTTTCATTTGATTTATTCCAGTCCTAATCTAGTCCAAAATTTTTACGACTGCCAATCGGGCATCGTTTTGGACCAACCAATTGGAAACCTATTTAATGAGGCGAAATTTAAGCAATATCTTGTATAGGAAAGTAAGAACTAAAGGGAATAAGCCATTATATTATTTTGAGGTACAAAATATTCCAGTAAATATTATTCCCTGGAAAATAAATTCTCCTCATTATCCACACCTGCAGCACTTCCATGTATATTCGAGATTGATGATAAATGACAAAGTCTGTTTGGCACCCTGCTGGCTTGTTATTCTACTGTTCCAACCCCCCTCCCCCCCGGTCCCTCTCTGAAACTGTGAAAATGAGCATTTCAGCCAAAAAAATTGTGAAGCCTACTTCAATTTACCTAAGCATTTTAGGTCAGTAAGAGATATTCTTTCACGTCTTCACGATGATAGCATTAAAGCTACATATTAATACCATTAAAATTATAATTACAGCTATAAGCTTTTAATAAATAATAATTGACCTTCGTCCTTAAAAATGGCTCATTTCAAAATTGGCACAGTTTCATTCCGATAATTTCAACAAAATATTATCGAAACGTTTGACAGCTGGTGTAAATATATATATATATATAACCTTAATTCCAAGCTCAAAGATTAAGATAAATTATTACTGCTTATCCCTTTAAAAACGGTAATTCAAAATCCAGAGACTAAAACTTTTGTAAATTAAATTGTAATTAATTCAAAATAATTAAGACTTTATCAAAAAAGTAAAATTAACCGAAATTTTAAAGAAGAGAGAAGCACAGAGTGTAAAGTTAAAAAAGTTGCAATATTTTCGGTGATGGCGGTGATGATGTGGATAAAGAAATTCATGCCACCAATTTATTGGGCACCTAGCTAAACCCCGCTTTTACGTATCTTTTTTGTCAGACAAGCACCACAGATGACTGCGCCCAACTGAATCAGAGAAATGACCAAGAGGAACACAGCTATGCCGATTAAAATCGGCTTTGCCATCCTGAACACTGCTTCGGCACAACCCTAAATAAATCCATTAGTTGCCTGTCCATAATGAAAACTTACCGTTCTGTATGGCGAAGAGCAATTCGGGATCTCATTGGCACAACAGGATTCAGGAATTTGGCGATTCCAATCTGATGGACCAGTGCCTCCACAACATTTATACTAAATAGTTCAAATTAAAAGGGTAATTGTGGGGGGGGGGTACTTTACCTGTCTTTGAAGATCGTGGATGTAAGATACATCTGAACCGAACGAAATTTGATTTTGAATATCAATTTTCAATGTTTCTCCAAACAATTTGACAAACTAGATTGGTGGGGGGATTAAGTTTGGAGCAATTTGTAACTCACGACCGCTTGACTGATTAGTATTAGAACAGCATCGATAACTTGACACACGATAATAAAACTGATGATAACACAGAACTGAACGGTTTGTTTGCATTAAATGGGACATAGAAATTGCAATCTTACAGAAATCAGCATGCAGACATTGTTTTTATGGGTTCCAACAATTCCAAGAATCGCGGCGACCAAAAGAACAATACCGAATATTATTATTGCTGCGGGCGTCGAATTTGTCAGATATTCTCCCATGCTTTTAGTTATCACAATAAGGTAGACTCCAAAACCAATACTTATTACAGCGCCAATCTAAATTGTTCCCAAATATTAATGAAAATAATTGCACAAATTTACAGTGTTGAAAATGTTAAAGATATCCAATACACATCGGAGGCCACGATGATCGTCATACTTAACCATATTTAGTTAATTTTGTTAGAATTTTTTGGAGGAGGAATGGGTTTCACTCTCAGTGCCTTCTTAAATAGCTCGCTAAACCAATCATAGCTGGACATTGTTTGCCCTTTTATAATCATGTGCTAAATTCATATTTTTGTTTTTCCAATCTGGTTACTTTACACTAATATTATTATAACGAAATTCCCATAAATCATTGAGGAAAATGGAGCGGACAAATAAAAGATGACGTGTGGGGGATTTTATTTCGATTTAATTTTCCGATTGGCCAATTAGACTCAGTTTTACGGTATCAAACCGTCATCACAATAGACCATCATTATCTAGGATAAATGCACATTTATCTTGCCTATAGTTAGGCCATTTTCACAGGGACGACATCTGAAGGCCTTTATTGTTTAGTGGAAGTACATTTCGAGGTTGAGGGACTAAGTCATCATGATGTTAAAGTCAATATTTCGCAGGTATTGGCAGCAATTTTCGGCCATATTAGAGTACCTTCCAATTTGCCTCCCTAATAAGAATGTTTTCAGCACGAAATACGTATTAAATTTCAACCTTTAAATCAGAAATCCTTTTCCACAACATCACCATTTCATTTAAAAATATCGGTAAATTTTATCCTTTAATTAACTACCATTAAATATATCAAAAATAAGCAGAAATAAAGAAGTAAAGGTATCATTTCTCGAAATTTCACACAAATAGCAATTGCACTTGATTGGAGCTTCGAAGGAAATATAAATAATGCAACTGAGGTATTCTTTAAGCGACTGTTAAGGCAACTCTTTGTAAAATTTACTTCCTATTCACTTAAATGAGAGGCACGGTTTAAGCAGATGAAGTACTGGCTATTGTAGTGTTGCAAAACGGTCTGTGTGAATGACTATTAAAGAACAGAACTTAAGCAAAAGTAAGAAATTCGTTGCTTAGTCCAGAATCGTGTCAGATTTCAATGCTAGAATTGGTCTGTACAACCACAGCAATGCCAAGCAGACGCACATCAAAACAAAGCTTTCACTTCCTCTTGTTGCGTTATATTCGTTGGGGGGTTCTTATGCTCTCTTACTTCTGAAGCTAACTACACTGAGACAATGCTTGATAAAAAATGGAATTCACAAGTTAGTTGAGAGCATACGTCTATTGAAAGTTCATTTTTGATTCATTTTGATTCAGGCAATGATTCCTATTTAGCTAGGCTTTGCAGCATTCAATCCGAATAAAACATTCACCAAGACACGGGATTCAAATAGGAATAAGTTAAACGATTGTCTAGTAATGGCCAATCGTTTTAATTGAATGGGATTTATCAAATAAGGTAC